CAGGTAGTATGGAGGATAAAGCAGCTGAATCCCACATGGCTGACCTAACAGCTTGAGTTCTGGACCCAATGACTTGACAAGCTGGGGGACCAGCACGTGGTGCGGTGGTTAAGCCACTGGATTCCCACATGGCTGACTGCAGTTCCAGCCCTAGCCCTGGCAGCTTGCTTTCTCACTTTCTCTCTCTCTCTCTGGTCAAATTAAAATGAACTGATTCATTAATTTAATATAATTAAATAATTCATTAAAAAAGAAAGTAAGAAAGAGAAAACCAAGCCAAGTGCATGCGCCTATGTGCCCAAAATCCTAAGAGGAGACTGGAAGAGAGGGGATTGTGGTATGGCCATCTCCCCTAGGAGGTGATGTCTCACTTTCTCTCTTTTTCTGTCACTGTCCCTGTAGTAAAACTAAGAGAGAGAGAGAGAGAGAGAGTGAGAGAAAAGCTGGTAAACACATAGAACAATTGAAAAAAGGCATGCCAAGCCTACAAGGCAAATGACCAGGCACCTCTCCTGAGCTGGCCAGCACCCACAACTAACTCCTGATGTCTTTTCGTGAGCATGTGGCATATCGCTTTGACATAAGTTTAAAGAGTGCTGTTTGACCTAAGAGATTTTTCTTTAACAAAATCTCATAAAAGTGTTACCTGGAAAGGCCTGCAGAGCTCTCCACGAGACCTGACCACACACACACACCTCTTCTTTCTGCCCAGCCCCTGCTAAGTCCCACAAACTCTGACCACACCCAGCTTTGGTGCATTGGGAGACAAGCTTGTGGGTTACTCTGGCTTTTTGAAAGTTCTCTACTTTTTCTTAAGTTCCATTGCCTCTAGAATTGTATCAATTTCATTCCTGCACTTGTTTCTCTTTTTTTAAGAGACAGATTTTTGCCTTAGGAGCATGCACTTGCAGGAAAGAGAAAGAGAGACAGAGATAGAGAGAAAGTGGATCAATCACCCCCTCCAGAGGGATGGCCATGCTATAATCCCTTCTCCCCCGTTCTCCTCTGGGGATCTCGGGCACGCACGTACATGTGCCCAGCGTGATTTTGAAGCCACTGGGTCTAGGACTCAAACTGTGGTCGGCCATGGGGGAGTCCAGCAACATAACTGCTATGCCATCTTCTGGTCCCGTCATTTTTTTTTTTTCGAGAGGTTTTTGCTATAGGGCGCATGCGCTTTCCAGACAGACAGAGAGAGACAGAGAGACAGAAAGCAAGAAATCACCCCCCCCGGGGGGGATGGCCACGCCACAATCCCTTCTCCTCCATTCTCCTCTAGGGATCTTGGGCACACACGCACATGCGCCCGGCGTGAGTTTAAGCCACTGGGTCTGGGACGCGAACCACGGTCAACTATGTGGGAGTCCAGTGACACAGCCATTACGCTAACTGCTGGTCCCCCGTCATTCTTCCACTTGTTTCTTTTCTGTTTTGTTTTTTTTTAAGAATTATTTAATTCTATTTATCCATTCATTTATTTTTTTAATTTGACCAGAGAAAGACACACACAGAGAGAGAGAGAGGGAAAGTGAAAAAGCAAGCCTCCAGGTCCAGGACTCTAACTGTGGGTGACCATGTGGGAGTGTCCAGCACCTTCACCACCATGCCACCTGCTGGCCCCTCTTCCATTTGTTTCTAATGTATGTTTCTTTTAGTGGGAATAACCAGTCATTTGAAGTTTGGATTTAAAATATTAGCAGTCAGATGTTTTGAACACAACATGGCTACTAATAGAGGTTTCTAATGCAAAATATGATTTCCTGGACAATCACTAGTACTAGGCTATTGTTTTTCTCTCTCTCTTTTTTTTTTTTTTTTTTTTTTTTTTTTGAGAGATTTTCACTGTAGGGCGCGTGCGCTCGCCAGACAGACAGAGAGAGACATAGAGACAGAAAGCGAGAAATCATCCCCCAGGGGGGATGGTCACGCCGCAATCCCTTCTCCTCCATTCTCCTCTCAGGATCTTGGGCAGGCACGCACACGCGCCCGGCGTGAGTTTTAAGTCACCGGGTCCGGGACACGAACCGCGGTCGACTACGTGGGAGTCCAGCGACATAGCCATTACGCTAACTGCTGGTTCCCTTTTTCTCTCTTTTTTTAATTTATCATTACTATTTGTTTTAATTTGACCAGAATAAGAGAGAAAAAGAGGCAGAAAGAAAGTGTGAAAGCAAGCTACCAGATCTAAGACTCAAACCATGGTCAAACATGTGAGAGTCCAGTGTTTTTAACCACCATGCCCCCTGCCAGCCCCAGGCTGTTGCTGTTTGAAAACAGAGTTTACTTTTCAACTGTTAGCATAACAACTCCGATTACTTAGCAGCAAACATTTTAAGCAGGAAACTAGTAAAAATTTTTTTAAAAATTCTTACTTTCTTAGAAGATAAAGGTTTAGAAGCCAGGGAAAATCCATCCAAAATTTTGCCAACATACCGAAGATCTTTCTCTGGTTCTACAAAATGAGGTCATTGATTAAATCCAGAAGTAGACAATTAGAAGACAAATGACATCAGCTTTTATTACAAAGAATACCAACAGTATATGTCATACATGCTATTGGTCAAAGGTAGCAACAAAGGGGAAGATGAAATAGCATGCAAAGCCCTCACACCTCTGTTGACTCAGGGATTGGTGGCCCAGTTCACACCACCCATGGCTGACTAAGCTGCTCAGATCATGGGGGAGACAAGTACCTCACCCTGATGGTTAGAGAAGGTCGCTCAGATCCTACACCGAGGGGCACAAGAGGATATACCTTGTGGTATATTCTTAAGAAAGATCTTAAGAAAAACCACTAAGAGAACAATACGAACAAAAATAAAAATCCTAACAATAGAGTCATTTCTAAAACTGGTCGGAGAACTTCCAGGTAGACCACTTCCCAGTTTCCTTAGCAACAATCCAAATAAGGCCCAAAGGCAATACAACCAGGTCAGCCTGTAATCTAATCTTATGACAGATATAAGGGACTTTTGACTCTTACTCAAGTTCTAACATGAGATAAAGACCACAAGTTTAGGAAACTGAATGGCCCAGATGCCTCTGACTTGGAGGAGTGTCCATGGGCTATGGAGACAAGCCATCAACAAAGGCCCTTTGAGTCTCTCTCTCTCTCTCTCTCTTTTTGTTTGCCAAAGGGCATGTATGCTGGCACGAGAGAGACAGAGAGAGGAGAGTGGAAAGCCCCTCCCCCCATGGGGATGATCACACCATAATCCTGTCTCTTCCGTTTCTCCTTTTGGGACTTTGGGAATGCACATGTGCCAGTGTGTTTTTGAAGCCATAGGGGCCAGGTCTTGAACTGCATAGTTGGCCATATGGGGTCCAGTCGCCTCAACCACTATACCACCAGCTGGTCTGGGCCCTTTGATTCTCAAGGATTTCATGTATAGTGGTTATGTCTGAAGACCATTTTTGGACCAAAAAGCCCCTGCTAAGTGACAACTGTAAGTACTTAATGGCAAGGTGCCGAGTCCTGAAGCAGGCGCAGCCCACAGTGCGGATGAGCTAAGGTTTCTGCAGCTAAAAATGCAGCGCCACCATGAACTATCCTCCTCACAAAGTCATCCTTGTAGTTTAACTCATAATGAACTTTTACACCAGCTTCTAGATATTCCTAAAATTCTGCAAGGTAATTTGGGATTGGATTTCACGTTCCAAGGCCCAGCTGAGATAGCTCATGCGGTTAAGATACTGTGTTCCACAGGCTGGGGCCACGTGGGAGGCCCTGGTTTGATTCCCTAAAAGCCAGACACAATGGTGTGCACCTACAATTCCAGCAACTCAGGGAGGCTGAGGCAGGAGGATCCGGACACAATGAGATCCTATCTTTAAAAAAGAAAGAAAGAAAGAAAGAAAGGAAGAAAGAAAGGAAGAAAGAAAGGAAGAAAGAAAGGAAGAAAGAAAGGAAGAAAGAAAGGAAGAAAGAAAGGAAGAAAGAAAGGAAGAAAGAAAGGAAGAAAGAAAGGAAGAAAGAAAGGAAGAAAGAAAGGAAGAAAGAAAGGAAGAAAGAAAGGAAGAAAGAAAGGAAGAAAGAAAGGAAGAAAGAAAGGAAGAAAGAAAGGAAGAAAGAAAGGAAGCTAACCCGCAGCTTGAAAATCATGCTGGGTGTATGTACATGCATGCCCAAGATCCCAGGAGAATGGAGGAAAAGGGACTGCAGTGTGGCCATGCCCCCAGGAGGTGATTTCTCACTTCTCTGGGGCAGGTCCTGGGTCAGTGATCGAGTCATCGGCACAATAACCTCCTGAGTGGACTTTAGCCTCACTTTACAAATGAGGACTCTCATGGAGGTTACGAGCCTTGCCCAAGGTGAACTGCTGTGCAGAGGAAATCTAAACTCCGAATCCAGGTCTGATTGACTCCGAGTCACAAGTTACTCATACCTACTCCCTACTGTGTAACCCCTGCACCTTTTCTGGAAAAAAATAAACTCAAATACTACTTAGAACCATAGGATCTAAATCACCACAGACTCCACCCTAAAATTCAAATTATCTCAAGAGATGGCCATTTTTTCTCCCAACAAGAGCTCCTTAAGTGCCAGGGACTTGAGAACACAGGCTCCATCTGGTAGGGGGCTGCAGGTGCACCTACCACTCAGTCCCCCAGCCAGGTCTGACCTACTGTTGGCCTTGACCTGCTTTGGCCACCTGCCCAGTTCCTCGAACTCTGAGTGCTTTCCCTTTGACCCACTGTCAGTTCTGGGCAGCAAGAGAACACCTGTCCAATAGTCACTCCTCTCCCTCCTCCCTATCTTGACCCTGTCTTTACAGCTGGCCCTGGCCTTCTCCTGGTCTAAACCCCACTCTGCTTACTTCTCACAGCGGGCCTTGCTTTTCCCTGCATTGTCTCTCACTCTGACTCTTTAGCTAACCCCTATTCCAGGGAGGCTGACGCTGCAGCATCAGTCCCTTCCTCCTGATAGATACCCTGACATGTGGACCTGTGGGTGTGGGTTTAAGGAATTACCTTTCTGATTTCTGTACTGCTTGGGGGCTGTCCAGCCATACAGTCCATCTCCAGGCTCCTCGTCCTTCAAAACCGTGTCATACTTGGAGAGAGTTTCTAAGGCATAGATATCATCATCTTCCTCTTCCAGAGCACCTACTCCAAAAGCCTTCAAGAAAACAAGGTTTCAAACTGAGCAATTACAAGATTGTTTTGCATTGAAAGATAAAACTACAGGGACCAGCAGTTAACATAATGGCTATGTCGCTGGACTCCTATGTAGTCGACTGCAGTTCGAGTACCGAACCCAGTGGCTTAAACTCACATCGAGCGCGTGTGCGTACGTGCCCAAGATCTCGAGAGGAAAATGGAGGAGAAGGGATTGCTGCATGGCCATCTCCCCGGAGGATGATTTCTTGCTTTCTGTCTCTCTGTCGAGCGCATGCACCCTGTAGCAATCTCTCTGTCTGGTGAGTGCACGCGCCCTATAAAAAAAAAAAAAAAATAAAAAAAAAAAAAGATCCCAAGAGGAGAATGGAGAAGGGATTGCTGTGTGGCCATCCCCCCTGGGGGGTGATTTCTCGCTTTCTGTCTCTCTGTCTCTGTCTTTCTGGCAAGTGCATGCGCCCTATAGCAAAAGTCTCTCAAATAAATAAAGATAAAACTACTTTGAGGATGTGACCTAAAACTACTTTGAGGATGTGACCTAAAAGACAAGATTAGCACTTCAATATAACCCGTAAAGAACCAGGTGAGTAGGAGCCCCAGATTAACTCAGACTCAAGTCTCTTGGCAAACGACAGCCAGAAGTGAATGCTACGCCTCCAGTACCTGCTTGGTCCTCCAGCCCCCAGCAGTCATGGCTCCAGGTCCTAGCGCAGGAAGGAGTGGAGGACACATTTAAGCAGCCCACAGGCAGGAATGGATTCTCCAAATAGAGAAAGGCAAAAATGTTCACCTACTGGGCAGTGTGGTCTGGGGCTGGGGTTAGTGACTGGGTCTAAAGACTACTACCCTAACAGCTGCTGAAGAACTCCTTATCAGGGCCAGCGAGTGGCACGGTGGGTAAGGCGGCTAGACTTCCATATGGTTGACCCCGGTTCAAGTCTCACTTTCATCACAGCTTGCTTTCTCACTTTCCCTCTCTTTTTATCCCTTTTGTGTCTCGCTCGTCAAATTTAAATAAATAAGTAAAACTTAAAAAAAAAAATAACTCACTTTTATTTGTTGGAAATAGCTTCCAGTATTTGCTTTTGATAAAAGGATTGGAAAAATACGTGCACGGAAAGAAAAGGTAATAATGAAATAACAAAATAACCATTTTCTAATGCATTTTAAGAAAGAGCCTCTGGGGGCAGGCAGATGGTGTGAAGGTTAAGGTGCTGGACTCCCACATGGCCAGCCGCAGTTCAGTCCCGGCCTGGAGGCTTACTTTCACATCTTCCCTTTCTCTCTCTCTCTCTTTCTCTGTATCTCTCTGGTCAAATTAAACAAATAATAATAATGATAATAAATGAGATAAAATAATTCTAAAAGAAAAAAAAAAAGAAAGAAAGAAAGAAAGAACCTCTGGGGGCTGGCAGGTGACATGGTGGTGACATGGTGGTTGAGGTGCTGGACACACAACATGTCTGACCATGGTTCAAGTCCCAGATCTGGTGGCTTGCTGTCTTTGGCTCTCTCTGGTCAAATTAAAAATAATAATAATAATAAGTTAAATAAATTTTTCAAAGAATTATTTAACATTTTTTATTTATTTATTTTAATTTGACCAGAGAGGGACAGTGTGAGAGAGAGAAAAAGTGAGAAAGCAAGCTGCCATGTCTGAGACTTGAACCGCAGTTGGCCACGTGGGAGCCCAGTGTCCTTAACCACACCCTTGCCCCCCACCAGCCCCAAATTAAAAAATTATTTAAAAAAAAAAAAAAAAAAAGCCTCATGGGTCCAGTCAGTGGCGCCGTGGTTAAGGTGGCTAGATCCTACATGGCTGACTATGTAATTCAAGTCCCAGACCCAGTGGCTTGAAAAACACACCAGGCACATGTGCGTACATACCTAAAATTCTGGAAAGAGAAACAGAGAAATAGGGATTGCTCTCCCTCATGGGGGGAAGCTTTCTCATGTCCTTTCTCTTTCTCTCTGTCTCTCTCTTATGAATGCATGTGCCTTTTTTTTCTTTTTCTTTATTTTTTAAATGTTTTTGCCATAGGGCACGTGCTCTTGCAGGAGAGAGACTGAGAGAGGCAGAAAGAGGGAAAGTGAGAAATCATCTCCCAGAAGGGATGGCCACACCACAATCCATTCTCCTCCAGTCTCTTGGGATTTTAGGCATGCACACGTATACACTGGCATGATTTTCAAACTGCTGAGTTCAGGACTTGAACTACAATCAGCAACATGGGACCCCAATATCTTCACCAAGCCACCTGCCGGCCCTGTGTATGTACCTTCTAACAAATTAAGAAATGAAAAAAAGAGAGTCTGAATCAATTTTAGAGGACAAGGCAACCAGAAAAAGCTCTCCATCTTCCTAAAAGTTAAAAGCAAGTCTCCTGAGTAAAAATACCCATGTTCCCAACTCGCGGCTGGTAGTACTCAAAGACAGCCCAAGAGGTACTAAAACTTGGACCTAAAGGCAGAGAGGTAGAGTGTAATTCGACTATTACTAAATCAAAGGGGCTAAGAGTGTTTTCCTGTTCACTCACATGGGTGGGAAAGCAGGCCTCACTTCAGGAAACACAAACTTCATTGAAAACGTCAGGCCCAAGCTCTCGGGAGCCATTAAAAACAAATTGTGGGGACCAGCAGGTGGCATGGTGCTTGGGGTGCTGGACTCCCACATGGCCGACTGTGGTTTGAGTTCTGGACCTGGCGGCTTACTTTCTCACTCTCCCTCCCTCCCTCCCTCTCTCTCTCTGTCTCTTGCTGGTCAAACTGAAGAACAACAATAATAAATAAAATTAAATAATTCTTTTAAAAAAAATAGATTGTACTGGGCCAGCAGATGGCATGGTAACTAAGGCACTGGACTCCCACATGGCCAACTGGAGTTCAAGTTCCAGGCCTAGGGGCTTGCTTTCTCACTTCCTCTCTCTCTCCTCTTTGGCTCTTGCTCTCTCTGTTTCTCTCTCTCTCTCTAGTGAGCACATACACTCTAGCAAATTAAAATAATAAATAAAATTAGATAAATAATTAAAAAAAAAAACAGATTGCGCTTAACAGGTCTCCA